TAGTCTCTTTCCTTTTTGCTTTCTCCTTCTCTCCTTTCCTTCCTGCCTTGCCTTTCTTTCAAATGTGAATCTCTTCAATCAAAAGTCCCAACTGCAAAGGAAAAAAAAAAAATCCCAACTGCGTCTACAAATCCATTCAAATGCAAATATCTTCAGAGTACTGGGTGGGATTTCATTTTTCCCTGTACCACGGCTTCAACATCCACTACCAGATTCTACTTTTAACAAGCTTGTCTCCAAGACAGATCTTCCATTTTAGTACTTCCAATCAAGTATTTGCGAAAGGCATAATTATATGTAAAAACAAAAATAAATGGCAGAGAGGCAGGGAAATAAATCATTCACAAGAAGCATTGTACTTATAAAGGTAACTATCTTCATAAATGCCTGCTCTTGTGGCCTAGTGGTAAAGGTGTTATGCTACCAACCCAAAGGCATGTGGTTCAAATCTACCAGTTACAAAACAACTCTGAGACATCATCTCACTCCAGCAACAATAGCAAAGTTCAACAGGCCAGCAAACAACAAGTGCTGGTGAGGTTGTGGAGAGATTGGAACTCGTATTCACTGCTGGTAGGAATGTAAAATAGTACAGCCACTATGGAACACAACCTGGTGCTTTCTCAAACAGTTAAAAACAGAAATACCATTTGACTCAGGATTCCACTACTGGGAATATACCCTAAAGAAACCAGAGCTATGACTCAAACAGATGTATGTTCATCCATGGTCATTGCTGCATTATTCACAACAGCAAAGAGATAGAAGCAACCTAAGTGCCCATCAGCAAATGAATGAATATAAAAACTATGGTACATTCACACAATGGAATATTACACAGCACTGAAAAACAATTAAATAGCAAAACATTACACAACATGGTAGAGACTGGAGAACATTATGCTAAGTGAAAAATCTCAGTCACAAAAGAATAAATACTGCATAGTACCACTGTTTTAAATAGAACACACATGTGGGGAGGGAAAGAGAATGGGGAAAGAGTGGACAGATAATGAACTTGCAATAGAACAGACAAGAGGAAGAACTGTCCAAAAGGAACATATGATTATGCATTATATGCATGAAAACAATCTGGAACAAGGAGTGCATTGTGTGGTGGCATGGGGAAATGAATAAATAAATAAATAATAAGGAATAAATAAAAATAATAAATATTTTTAAAACCACAACTCCACCAGCCCTACCCATCCTTCTGAGAGAGAAAGATGAGTTGTCTCCTCCTGTGTGATTTACTGCCTCTGAAAACTCACTGGAGGGCCAGCTGTGAGTCAGCTCTGATCCAAGATACCCAACAGTAACATAAGTAGGTGCCTGAGGTGACTAGACAAATGATTTGGAGGACTCAGATGCACCATCCAAGGGAGCCGAATCCAAGAGGTAGGCAGGCTCTGAGATGACCCATTAAGGGGTCCTGAAAAAAGTTGTTTGTTGCTGCTGTTGTTAGTTGCCATTGAGTAGCAAACAACTCACAGTCGTGACCCTGTGACCAACAGATCTGAACCTTATCCTATCCTGCACCATCTTTATCATTCTCACCATGCTAGAGCCTGCTGAAGCACTCTATTAATCCAGTCACTGAGGGTCTTCCACTCCTTCTCTGACCCTCCACCTTCCCAAGCATGATGTCCTCTCCAAGGAATAGCCTCTCCTAACAGCATGTCCAAGGCATGTGAGACAAAAATAAAAACTTTAAAAAAGGAAATAAACTTCTCTTACAGGACCTTTGTGGGGATTTGTTGTTGTTATGTGCCGTCGAGTCAGAACTGACTCATTGCTGTCCCTCCAGTGGGTTTTTACAATTAGTAAATCGCACAGGAAGACATTGTTCATCCTTCTCCCTCCCAGCAGCTGGAGAATTCAATCGCAGCCCTGGATCGTAACGTTTGACACACAGTGAGTGCGGTTAACCCACTCAGCAGCTAATTGAAAGTTTGAGAGTAAAGTCCCCCCAGAAGTCCCTCAGAAGAAAGGCCTGGCGATCTGCTTCCCAAAAAGAAGAGCCACAGAAAATCCTATCTAGTACAGTGATACTCAGGCACACAGGGTTGCGCTGGGTAGAAATCTACTTGACAAGTGGTTTCTGTTGCTAACTGGCAAAGTCCCAGGTGCTTTTCTCTGTGCTGACTCACCTGTTCTACAGAACAGAGCGCACATGGAAAAGCCGATGGGAACTGCTCATCTTGATCTCAGTGAGGACAGGGACTCTGCACAACTTACTCGATGTACCATCCCAGTGCCTAACGCCTGGAAAAGAGTTGATAAAGATGTTCGATATTTTTTTAAAAGAAAGAATAGATCAATGAATGAATGACAACGTTGTCATTCATTTTTTAAATCATTTCAGTTCGCTCAGGGAGCTCTGGTGACTTAGTGGTAGGAATTTCGCGGCCAAGGCAAAGGTATGTGCTTCGAATTCATCAGCTGCTTCACGGGAGAAAGATGAGCAATTTCGTCCCTTAATACTCGCTAGAGCTAAGGGCCCGACTTCGTGGTTCCCAACAGTACAGTTCATTCACAAACTGTCCGGATTTACCCGATTTGGGGTGGCTTCGAACCAAGGACTCTCCGTGCTAGCATTAGGCAAACAGCATTGAGTCTAACGGAACTGTCTGACTAGAGGCACTGAGCAGCAGAAAGTGTCAAACTTTCAGATTAAAGAAACCCCCACTCAAACAGAGGAGGAACGCCAAGTAATGGCTCCGCCTCCTCTAGGTCTTAGCCCCACCCACTTGACCCCCGCTCCACCTCTCAGACTCCGCCCCTTGCTCTGCGAAGGTCACCTTCACGCGAGACCCTAGCCGCCCAAATGGGCATGCGCCAAATCTTCTGCAGGCGCATGCGCAGATTTGCTGTCTCCCTGTTTTCTCTCCGCCCATCAGGGAAACCGGAAATCAGCACTCAGTGGCCGACGCGGCTAGCGGGCCCGAGGCCACTTTGGGTTGCCGCCGCCGCGGGGTTGGGCGGGACGCAAGCGGACTGCGACCTCGGGGTTAAGGGGTGGGGCTCGACGTCAGGAGCCAAGATGGCAGCCGTGGTTGGAGTCTCCTTGAGGCGCGGGTTGCCCGCCTCGACCCTTGGCGGAGCCTGCCTGCAGGTGAGCCCCGAAACCTGGGGAGAGGGAAGGGTTGAAGGTTACCGGGGACTGCTCGGAGCTGCGGAAGCAGCGGGAGGACAAGCTAAGGAGGTGCAGACTGGCCCTGGAGGAGGAGGACTTCCTCCCACCAGCACAGAGATACTGTTTTGACCTGGAGCATCCTTGTCTTTTATCCTCGCAAGCCTTGCCAGCAGCCTGTTAATTGGTCAAGCGTAGGCTGGTTTATAGAGGTTTGGCAGAAAGAAGAGAGTCCAAAGAAAGGACTTGAATTGCTCAAGGTCATATGGCAATCAAGTCATTTGAGTTCCAAGTCCTTTTACCGCTGTGGAAAAGGAAGACCTGCGGGAGTGTGAGGGATAGGATGCGGGGTGGAGGGTGTAGTAAAGAAGATCGAGAAAGAGCAGGTGAATTGCTGGGGCCAGGGCCTGGAAGGGAATTATTGTTATGTATTTATGTATGTATGTATGTACAGCAGGACGAAACCCTGCCCGATCCCGTGTCTCTCTCTTACTCCGCGCGGCATAAACCCATTGTTGGAGTCCCTGTGTCTAGCAGACCCCTCTCTTTTTCATGGTGTCTTGCAGTTAACGTGTCCTGATAACGTGTACAAAGTACGTGAGAAGTTTCAGCTGGACTGGGGAGGTCCCAATGTGGGGCTGCAGGAAAGTTCCTTAGACAGTGTCCCCCAGAGTTAAATTGACACCCACTCCATGCCCCTATGTGTCTCACATTCATTGCTGTCAAGTCGGAGCAGACTCGTAGCTGACCCTCCTTTGGGCAGAGGCTGTAAAATCCCAATCAGGAGATTGCCCATCTTTCTCCTACCCTGTGTGTGGCTTCGAACTGCAGGAGAGGCACAGCCTTTGAGTTCAGCACAGCTACCTACAGAGGAGGACACCAGAGCTCCTTATCCCTGTCTGTAGAAGAGTCAGAATAGTGCCCATCTTGGAGAGCTGTCAAAGAATCCCATAGGTAGAGAACTTGGCACTGATGTGGGGTCAGTTATACGTTTTCTTAGATTCTTTGTTGTTGTTTATGTGCCATGGAGTTGCTTGTGACTCATAGCGACCGTATGTACAACAGCCCTAAAACCTGCTCTGTCCTGTACAAATCTGTCTCTGACACACCCGCCCCATTACCCCAGTCACTGAATCAATCCACTTCACAGACGGTCTTCCCCTCCTGTGCTGTCCCTCCACCATCCCAAGCATGACATCCCTCTCCAAGGACTGGTCCCTCCTTGCAACATGCCCAAAATATGTCAGACGAAGCCTCAGAATCCTTGCCTCCAAGGAGCAGCCCAGTTTAACCCTCTCCAGGATGAATCTGTTTTCTTAGCACTCCGTGGTACATTCAATACTTTTCTCCAGCACCACAATTCAAAGGCATCAATTCTCCTATCCTCCCTAATCATTGTCCAACTCTCTGATGCATAACAAGTGATAGCAAAGACCATGGCCTGTATCAGGAGTACCTTAGTCTCCAGAGAGACACCATTGCTCTTCAGTACTTTGGAGAGGTCCCTAACAGCAGACTTTCCCATCTCAATACGTCTTTTAATTTCCTGGCTGCTTGTATTGTCAGGAAACTGTACACAGTGTATCTCTGAAAACCCACTGGAGGGTCAGCTGTGGTCGATTCTGACTCGATGGTACTCAACCACAGGGAAGAAAAGAACTCACTGCTGTCGATTCTGGCTCTTGCAACCATATAGAATGGCCCCGTAGGGCTTCCAAAAACAGATTTGTATCTTTCTCCCACAGAACGGCTGACTCAGCAGTTAGCAGCCTTGCACTTAACAACTGCACCACCAGGGCTCCTTGATAAGGGACTAAGGATTTCCAAATCCTTTTTATTTTTCTGAGCTGCTCAACAGATCCTTAAGGTAGACATGCAGGACTTCTTTCCTCCTCTTTAAAGATCTATAAATTGAACCTCCAGAAAGAAAATATTTTTACACCCAAGAACTGGCAAGCCTAGGACCTAACCTCAGTTGGTTTTGAAAACCACTTCACATAAATCCTTGCATATGATAGGCATACCAGAAAATCCGTTCCTTTTCCCCTCTTGCACTTGTTTTGTGCCTTCAAGTTGAAATTGACTCATAACTGACCATCCAGAGGGTTTTCAGAGGCAGTAAATTGCACAAGAGGAGATTGTCCCATGTTTCTCCCAAGGACTTGAACCACCTGAGTAAAAAGGGAGTAGGCAGCATGAGCACTAGGTCTGACTTCTGCTAACTCCACAAAGGGGATCTGTCTCCGTCAGCAACATCCACCATCTAAAACACTCCTACAAGGCCAGGCATGGTCTCCCATACTCCTCCCCCTACTGTTAATTCCAACACCAATCTTACTGCCATACTCAGTTCAAAATCCATTGCAGTGACCACACAGACTTTGCAGAACCATACTTACTGTTACGGGGTTTATTGAGGAAGTTAACAGGCTGTGATTCAGGTTGGCAGCAGGATTTACTTCCTCAGTCCAGAAAGCTGCTCAAGTGTGGTCTCAGGCCTTTGAACCTTATATCTTAAGTCAGTGTTACAGAGTTGCCTTAGCCGTGCAGTAGTCCAAAATCATCTTTGCCCCATGTCTGTTGGTGCTTCTCTGCTGAGGTTGCTGTTGCTCTTGTGTAGGTCAGAGTCTAGCTGGCACAGGAATCTCTGGCCCCAAAGAAACACACTGCATCCTTTTCATTGTTGGTGATGAGATTCCCAATTTTGCTGCTGAAGTCACTCAATTTAATTTAAATCTAGTGGGATTGCAAGATTAACCAAACTACACCATCCATATGGTAAAGTCAGTTAGTGGCTAGAAAAGCCATTTTGAACAATAAAACCTTGATACTACAACCTGCCTCTGGGTTGGCTGCACATCTCCTGACCACTAGGCCACCAGAGCTCCGCGAACTTGTTGTTAGGTGCCTTCAAGTCATTTCCACCTCACAGGGACCTTATTGTTGTTAAGTGCCATCGAGTTGTAGGCAACTCATAGCGACCCCACGAACGAAAGTCCTCGGCACTTGCCTGCGTGACTTTCATCCTTTCTCCAGGTTCATAGGGTTTCTGGAGGCAAGCTGTTTACGGAAGTGGATGCCACTTCTGCTTCCAAGCTTGTTTTAACCAGGAGCGCCACCAAACATTGTCCACCGTAGGTAAACATTACTGCATTTGACACATCAGTGTCACAGTGTTCAGCCTCGCAGCGTATATAACATGTATAGAATGAAGCTTTATACCTGCCTCAGGATCACGACTGGATGAGTCCGTTGTCATAGCCACTATGTCAGTCCATCTCTGGAGAAGCTGCTGCTTCTGCACTGAGCACCTTTCCCAAGCATGATGTCCTTCAGGAATTGTCCTTCGTAATAACATGTTCCGAATACTTGAGGCAGAGCGTTACTGTTTGTGCTTCTAAGGAACATTCAGGCTGCACTCCATTCAAGACATATTTGACTCTGTGTGTACAAAACGACCTTACTCCTGTCAAATATTGGGCTGCTAACTGAAATGTCAACAGTTTGAACCCTCTGGCTGTTCCAAGAGAGAAAGATGAGGCATTCTGTTCCTATTAAGAGTTACCTATGAAGGGAGCTGTGGTGGCCTAGTGGCAAGAAGCTGCACTGCATTCCCAGAGGTACGTGGTTCAAATCCACCAGATCCTCTGCTGGAGAAGGGGACAATCTCCTCCTGTACCAGGCAGATCTGATTTGACGGTGCACACAAAAAAATTAAAAAATTAGAAAAAAGAGTTATCTATGAAGGGGAGAGGGGGAGTTACCTATGCAAAGGCCAAAAATACCAGTAAAAGGGGAAAAAAAAGTTACATCCTCAGAAACCCCATAGAGGAGCAGTCACTGAGTTCGTCGGCTCAGTGGCAGTAGGTTTGCTATTTCTGTTTTACAGCTTTTGTTTTTTTGTTGGTTTTGGCTGCATAATAGCACATATGGGCTGCCTTCTAATTCTAAATCTTTCTAACACATTGTATGTGATTTAGGTAAGTCATTATTGTAGCATTTCTTTCTGTATAGAAGAGATAGAAGGGGACTTTCTACCAGAAGCTTAAGCTGATGTCCTCTGAGAGTTAAATTGATTAATAGTGACCTTGTTTACAAGTTTCTTTTATAGGTGCTGAACAAACAGTTTAAGTTTTGAGAGCCCCACCAATGAGAGCTAGTTCTAAAGCTCCGGCCCCTCTTCCAAAAGTGAAAAGTGGAGAAAGCTAGTTCCGTAGGTCAGTGTTGTAATTCCTGGCAAGGAAAAGTCTTTCAAATGGGAGTCTGGATAAGAATCCATGGAGGTCTCTTCAAAAGAGTCCAGTAATGAACTTGGTAGATTACCTGTGTCCTACAACTTTAGAACACAGTATGCTTTATCTTGTGAATTCCTTTTGTGTATATAGTCTGAACCACAATTCTCCCTCTGTATTTAACTGTAACAGATTACTTGTAGTTTATGTTGCTTTACTTAATCATCTAGAATATGAACTTCCTCAAGGGAAGGATTACCTACGTAGTGATGGATCTCATTTTTCCTATCACCGGCACAGTTTGGAATGACCAATCTGCCAATCAGAGTAATAAAAAAACTAATTATTTTGCCAGTATTGAAAAGCAAAAGTCACTTTCTAAACTATGCTAGAAGCTGGATCCTCTACTAATTTTAAGATGTAGGAGGCTTGGAAGCAGAAGTGGCATCCACTTCCAAAAGAACTTTCCTCTGGAAACTCTATGAGCTTAAAGAAATGATGAAAGTATACAAGTGCTCAGGCTTTTCATTCATAGGGTCGCTATGAGTCATCTATGACGCCACAACACTTAACAACAACAACATGAATATCATCCATTTACAGAGAATACAGAATCAGAGTTGTTGTTATTATTGTCTTAAGCCTGTTCCCTAAGGAAATTTTCCAACAGGAACAACTGGACTTCTGCCTGATCCAGAATCTATCCTTTGTATCCTCTTCAGTCCAGTGGATCGTTTTGCTTCCTTCCTT